ATCTCAAAATATTAAGCCTGCTACTGTTACACCTATTCCCATCAAACAGCCTTCGTATATCAATGGTATTCCAAGAATAACATGGACTGAAGAGGAAGTTAGGCGGATGAACACCATTGAAAACTTGCAATATGCGGTGATAGGGAAGTTTTCCTATGGGTGGCCAGAGATGGATGATTTGCGGATTCAAATTCCCAAACAATGTAATGTGAAGGGTGGATGTAAGATTGGGTTACTACGAAATAGACATATATTAATGCGATTTGAATTGTATGTAGATTATGTGAATATGATGTCGAAGACTTAATTACATCACGGGCAAGGATGGTACGGCATATCAAATGCGACCTGTCATATATGATGCAAAATTTAAAGTGGATGAGGAAACGACTCAAGCCATGGCCTGGATTTCCTTTCCTGACTTATGGCCAACCTTTTTTGTTAAGGAATCTTTATTCTCACTAGCCTCTGCTGTAGGGAAGCCTATTCAGTTAGATATGGCGACAATAAATAAGACACGACCTAGTTGTGCTAGAGTCAAAGTTCAAGTGAACCTACTTGCTGATTTACCCAAATTTGTAGAATTGGAGATTGAGGATCCTATATCTCAATCATCAAGAGTGGAAAGAATTAAAGTTCTCTATGATGTTTTACCAAAATACTGCAAAAAGTGTAAACTTCAAGGACATAATGAAGATGATTGCAGAGTTTTGCATCCTGAATTGAAGAAGGATACTCAGATTGAAGTGGCAACAGAAGCAGATCCAACAAAGAAGAATGAGGCACACAGGAATCAACAAAGAACTTTTCAACAGTGGAATCCTACTAGGAGAAGATTTACTTTGGAAAAGGGAAAATTTTGTGATAATGCAAGAGATCCAGAAGATGATGATATAATCACTAAAAATACTTTTGATGATTTACCTGAAGATAATGATATGAGACAAGAAGTAGGGTCTGTAGAAGAGAAGGAGAAGATTGAGTTATCAGAAACAGACAACACAGATACAAGTAACAAGGAAGAAAGTACCACAAGAAATTGGGTTAATCAATCATTTTACAAGAGGATAGCACCAACTCAAGATGCTAATAAGGATAGTGATGACCAAGAAGGGGCTCTCACTGTTGGTGAACATGTGCAGCAAAAGGATATGGAAATATGTGGAGATGATACAACAGATACATCAGAGGTTATAACTACTGTAGGTAAGGCTATAACTGTAGTAGTTTGTAGTGACAAAGAGCAAGAGCAACAACAACTACAAAGTCAGCAACAAACATTATACAATGCACAGATGGGAACTGATGAGTCCAACAAGACAAATAGTGACTTGTGTTATGATAATTTAGTGCATAACAATGAAAAAATGAATACTGAGAAGGTGCAACAACAGCAACAAGAACAATATTTAACAGACTTGGAGAATACCAATGAAGAAAGTAACTTGCAAGATGATGTACAGCAGCAACTGATTGATGTTGAGAAGGATAGTAATAGAAGTGATCTGCAGGAAGTTATTCAGAAGCATATAGATGTGGTCAATAATGTAAATAATCTGTTGGACAGTGAAACAAATGGAATTGATGGGGATAAGGGGAAAGATGCATCTCCAGAAGTCGAGAATAAGCAAGTTGACAATGGTGGAAACAAAACTCAATCACAACAACAAATGGTGGAAAAGAAGATAAAGGAAGATACAGATGAAGATCAAAATCAGCACAATCTCATACATGCTAAACCATTACCACAGGCAATTGTAGCTTCAACAGTTGATTCTCCTGTTAAGGTCCTGCATGACATTGTTGCACACAATATAAATGAGATAAATGAACAGCAACATGTGGAAGTTAATGACGAAATAAGAAAGGAAGATACAGATGAAGATCAAAATCAGCACAATCTCATACATGCTTTGAAGGTGGCAGATTTATCTCCAGATGTTCAATCAAAGGGGAAGAAAAATAGGGCTAATGTTGAAACCAGTAAGCCCACAAGAACTATTCCCAAAAGGAGTGCTAAATCTGTTTATAAATGATTCAGAAAGCACCTGTATGGAATATTAGATCAGTCATAATTACAATCGGAATGGTAAAATTTGGGTGTTTGTCCAGGAAAATATTCAAGTGGAGATTTTATCAGACTCTGAACAACAGATTACTTTACAACTTACATTTCAAGATTCGGGAGATTCCATCATCTATACTTTTGTTTATGCTAAGTGTTCAGCACTTGAAAGACTAAGCTTGTGGGATGATATTTATTTACTGAGTCACAATATGAGGTTACCTTGGCTTGTAGGTGGCGACTTCAATGTTATTTTGAATGATGAAGAGAAAATTGGAGGT